GATAGAGCAAGTTAGGATTTGCATTGTCCTGTTTGCTATTTTCAGGGTATATTTATATACCTGTACATTTACAATTTTTGCAACAGGATTATTATCAAACTTAATTAATATTTTGATCTTACCATCCTTAGCATTGCTGCACAACCAGCTCAGACATTTAAGTCAAAACCACTGATGGTAAACACCAAAGTTTAGTTTTGTTTGCTGTTGGGAGTTTGTTGCATACCACAACTTTTATCTGGACTGATTTTATCTGGACTGATTCCCATAATGAGCAGCAATGCAGACAACTGGTAATTGCACTTCTGCAACAAATGCACAAACGCTATATTCCAAAAAACTATAGATAATTAATGTATGTAAAAGTACAGCTGAAAATAGTCTCAAACTGTTGCTAGGCTACACATAATAGGGTTTCCGCCAGTATTACAGAAAATTGTACATTTTGCATTACATTGTAAATTTGTTATTTTTAGTTTCATGCAATATTTGAAATCACCAACTAGACGCTCTGGCAGCGTGAAGTCGGACTARCTGCTTGTGAAAATTGAGAAAGACAGGATATTACATGGATAAAAATATTTCTTAACTTTTTTTTCCAAAACAGCCGAACTCACGGTCTAATAAGGTCTAATAAGAGCGTCTAGTTCAAAATATGCAAAATATATTGAGACTTTAAATAAACTTGACCTAAAAGGTCATGTAATTAAATCGGCGATAAGAACGTGGCTTGCTTTGACTGATAAAATCAACTACTCAGACAAGTGTCTCGCTAAGTGATATATGATATCTAAAACGTTGACCTCTCAGGCAAAGAAAATAAAAACTTTACAAGGAAAAAGATGCCTATAAAATCATTAAATTCGCCTTTCTGTTATTGATAAACAAAGTTTCTTCTTGTTCTAATTTGAAATCTTTACCCCCACAAGACTGTCTAACACTAGAAATGATATTGATTCAGTTTTCTAAGCATACAACTCGAAACTCTATGCGATCTGCACATGCGCGTACTTCTAATGCCTAGACAGACGCATTCCGATGAGATCACAGATACCACATTTGTAAACGAATAGTTTTTTTGTCATATAAAAGCCAAGTAGCATATAACATTTACTAACGATATTCGTACATCAATACACTTGAGCTTCCGGTCATGTAATAACACAGCCAACGCAATAGTTAATTATTAAATTCTTAACTTCCGGTGGTCCAAACGCGACATGACACATAGATAGATAGATAGATAGATAGATAGATAGATTGGCTAAAAGGTAAATTTAAAGTCGGACCCGCCTTCGGCTAGTCCGACTAATTAGTATTTTGAATTAAGTTTCTGTACGTGATATTTTTGCAGTTGTAACAAACGTCGAATTTTTTTGCACAAATCAAAATAAATCAATTGTTGTCAAGTTGGGCTCCCTGTGGAAATCAGCGACGTAAGTAGCCCCGCCCAGAGCGATCATGCAGAACAAAGAAAAGCTCAAACATCAACATCTGCAGTGCAGTTAGCTTGCGTTAAGTCCAATTTTGCTCATCTTCTGGTGTAATTTGTAAAATGAACAACCTAACAACAACAAGCATCGCTCCAACAACTAACACTACTTATCGAATGCCGTCTAACATTCACACGTTGTACGGATTTTGGATCTTTCAGCTCGTCTACATCTTCTTCGCCGCCATTGCAACGATCGTTCTCAATGGGCTGACGCTTTTCGCCATCTACAAAGATCCCCTGAAGTGCTTCAGAAGTCCTTTAACGATTTTTGTAACAGGAGTTTTGGTCGCCGACTTTTTAACCGGTCTTCTTGGCGAGATCACGATTGTGGCTGGGATTTCTCATGCCTGGCGAACTGGTAGTCAAGTTGGCCTAGGAGTCCTGCTCTATGGAATCGTTGTGTTTTTAATAACAGTCTCTATATCATTCTACACACTGTTAGCGTTAGCTATCTGCCAACTGTTAGCTATTGGTTGGGTGCCCCGTTATGAACGAACCGTGAGTGTTCGTTCGGCTAAGATTGGAATCGCCAGTATTTGGATATGTAC